AAAGTATATAATTCAATGTTTTTAGTATATATAGAGTAATGTAATTTATATCAACCCCAAAGAGATAAAAAAAGATAAGAGAGGTAGCTAGCAATCAAATTAGATAATGATGTGTAGGGCCTCAGAGCCTTGGAGAATCTCTGCTAGAATGTGGTATTGTTATTTTAAGTGAAGTGGGAAATCATTGGAGGGTCTGAGTCAGAAAGTGATAGGAGCTATTAATGTTATAAAACTGTAATGTCTTATAAGCACTGGGTACATAGAACTATTCCATTTAAATTCATTTAGAAAATAAAAATTCAGTGCCACATTTCAAATACTCATTAGTTGCATTTGGCTAGAGGCTGCTAGATTAGATAGCACAGATGAAGGAAATAAACAACACTGCAGAAAGTTCTATTGGCCAGTAGTATGTTAAAAGGTTGATTAGGGAAATTTGGAAGTAAGAAGAGACACTGAAGAGCAAGGTGCAAAATCAGTGAGAATGCCCTCCTAGGAGTTTGGCAGAGAATGTCAGTGACAGGTTAGCATGATACAGATGAAAACTGCAATATGTTATTGGAATAGAGATATGTTTTGAAGATATAGTTGATAGCATTAGCTGACAGAAGAGGAGAAAAGGGGGAAGAGGGTGAGAGGAGAGAAGGGAGAATATCAAAGGAGAAAGATAATTTTATTGAAGGAAGAGTGGAAATTTGGAAGGATATTTTTTAAAAAAGAAGGTAATATGGGCCCTCCCCGGCAGCACAGCGGGTTAAAGCACAGCACTAAGAAGCTTAAGCCACTTCCGCATGAGTTCGATTCCCGCCTGCCCCGAAGGAGATCCACATGGCGCGGCAGACCTCTCCTGACCCGCCTGCTCCTCCCCTCAGCAGTGTACTTCAGTGTACTTCATAGCCTGTTCTGCTCCCCACTCTGTCCCCGGTGAATCCCCTCACCCTTCGCATCTCTGGCCTGTACCCCAGCTCTATATGAATAAATAAATAAATCTTTTTTTAAAAAGAAGGTAATATGGGGGAGATGACAAGGATCAGGACTGTGGAAATAAATTGGAAAATAAAAAACAAAAAACACACAGACCGATGAAGCAAGAACAGATAACATGCCAGGATGCAAGAACGGTCAACTAAACTCTTTGTACTAAAAGTTCCATTTAGGACAGAAAGAAAGCAAAGCAAACATGTAGGTTTTTCTCATTGGTGAAAATGAGATTCAAGGTAGTGATCACCAAGTTTTCAGATATTGTACTTCTACTTTGTATGATCAGTAGATATACAGAAATAAAATCTCTCTTCAACCTTACATCTTGTATTTCTGTCAGTTCTGAGCTTTGTATTAATGTATCATTTATTGTATCTTTTGAAATAAACTGTATACATCCACAACTTTGATTTCTATTCTAGTCCACAACTTTGATTTCTATTCTAAACTTTTAGTCATACCGAGGTGTTCTCTTCCAAATTCCTCTCTCATAACAGAATTTTCTACTTACAACTTTTAAACATATTATGGTTCTCTATTTCTTAGTCTTAAGAAATTTATATTTTTCAGAAAAATATACTCTTATATGTTTTAGTTACTGGTTTAGTCCCACTAAATCTTTGTGATAAGAACAAGCTATTGTTAATTTATTATTTTAATTTGCCCAATATTATACAAGGATAATTTTAACACCTGTATTCTGGATTCTGGAAATAAGCAGATGAAAAGGTGTAACCTCCTCTTCAAGGATTTCCAATACTGGAGGAGAAGGTAAGAATGCAGACAAGACAAATAACTACAGTGTAATATGTTAAATGACATGACAAAAATATGAATACAAATAAGCATAATACTTCCAATACTGGAGGAGAAGGTAAGAATGCAGACAAGACAAATAACTACAGTGTAATATGTTAAATGATATGACAAAAATATGAATACAAATAAGCAGGAAGGTATTGGGAATATAACTATGATTTTTTTTCCAGTGAGATAGTTCAGACATATTATGTAGGAGTTTTAATTAAGCTGGTAAAAAGACGTAAGAATTTGGAAGACCTTAATAAAATAAAATGACTTCTACAATTTAAAGTGTTGTTCCTGTTCTCATTCCACTGATTTTCTGCTGGAAAGGTAACTAGTTCTCTTGGAATTTAGTTCATTCAATTTAATCAACAGAAAATTTAATGTGAGAAGTCACTATTAAGATAAAGATGCAGAACCTAAATCTTGAATTTCAAAGAAACATCAAAAAAGTTTACAGAATTTATGCCCACCTGAATATATACTCAATATGTAATACCTGGCATAACTATATGGAACAAAGTAACATTTTATAATATGTTAGCTATTTAGCCAACTTGTACTGCCCTAGTAAAACACCAGAGACTGGCAACACAAGAATTTATTTTGTTACAGTTTATCAGAATAGAAATCCAAGATCAAGGTGCTAGCTTATTGGTGACTAGGTTATATCTTGAACTGCAGATGGCTGGCTACCTTCTTGTGTGCTACATGGCCTTTCCTGGGCCAGTGCTTGCTCAAGGAGACAACAGCGCTGGTGTTTCTTTCTCTGTTAAAGGACACCAATCGTATCAGACCAGCGTCTACCCACCTGACCTCATTTAACTTTGATTATCTCCCTAAAGGTACCATCTTCAAATATATCACATTGTGGGTTAGGGTTACAGTGTATGAATGGGGGTTGGGGGACAAAAACATCTGACCTATAACAGTAGGTTACGAAGGTTCTCTTTCAGGTGAGGAAAAAACCATGCTTGGATATACCTGTTGGCAAAGTCTAATATAAAAAAAAAAAACAAAAAACTTAGCCTACAGTATTATCCTCAAATCAGCTTTCCTGTCATTATTTTGTGATGAGATGATCTGATTTATGAAAGTGAAATATCAAAACAAAATCATCCTGATGTTATTGTTGTGATACATTTTAGGTTTTTGTACCCAAGCTTTAATTTGAAAGTTTAAAGTGTAGGTGTGAGCATTTTCAAAAGGCAATCCTACCAATGATTTTAAATTAATTAATGCGAAGTTCCAATGACTTTCAGGGGGTTTTTTTTACAGTAAAAAAAATCTGTGTCGACATGCCTTTAGAAATTATGAAATTACATATCTATCCTCATACATGATAGTGTGACAGAGCTATATCCTCTGGTCTTAATTATAGGAAAAGTATAGACAAGTATAAGGCTTTAGTTTTATTGTTTTATAAATGAACCAGTAAAGTTCATTTTAGTGAAATGAGCACACGCTTTTCATAAATTAAAATAAATCTCACATGGTAAAGTACCCATTTTCAAAATTAATTTAATTACATGTTTAAAATTTAATTACATTTAATTAAGCATTTAAGTTTAATATGAAATAAATGAATTATCAGTTAACTACTATGAAATGAAATACTGCCTTGAAAATTAAAATCTATAAATTTTTCTATTCTGTACAATACTAGCTTTTTGTAGTACTAGCTTTAAAAATATTCTGAAAAAATATCTTAAAGACTACAGAACTATATTTTCATAGTAGATTAAATATGATTCTGGTTCAAGGTTTGGCATGCTGCACATTAACTCAAAATATAAAGTGGAGTCAGCCTGGTAAAAAACAGTGAACTGAGGTTTTGGAGTCTTGGGTTGGGTGCTTAGTCACTTAGAGCCTGCAATAGTAGGGACTTCACTTAGCATCTTTGATCTCAAATTTCTTATGAGAGGGGATAGTATTATTTTGGAGAGTTTTGGTAGGGTTAAATGAAGTACCCTATGGTCAGTGCCTAAAATACTATGGGACCTAAAATAGACATTTGATATTTGACAAGTGTTAATTCCCTGAGCACTCCATAAATATAGGCAGGATAGAATTATTGTTAATATAGAATTTGAGTCAGAAAGAACTGACTTTGAACCTGGGTTCCATAGTTTACTATTTGGGAAACCAAGAAAATTTGTTTTTGACCTACTATCAAGTTTGTATGTAGATATATGTCTGGCTCAATGAGTGGCAAAAAAATAGGAAATAGTTTAATTAGTAAAACCATTCAAACTTAAAATTAGTGATGCAGGTTTGACAGGTGGTAGGGCCTACCCTGATTTTTCACAGGTGGATATTGATTTTCACTGAATTTAAGGGACTTGCCTAAAGTTTATAGAAGGAAGGAATCAGCCAGAACCCAGCTTGAAAAAAAATTGCATTTCACTCTTTTCCTTCCAGTCCAGAAAGGTAAAGATAAAGGACCTAGAAAACATTTGAATCAGGAAAGCAAAAAGAAAAAGAAAGATCTGACAGGTTAATACTGGCTCTATCACTTAATAATTGAGTTTTGGATAAATACATAAAATAGAGGTAACAGCCTATTCCATGGATTACTTTTCCTTGATAAAACTGCAATTAATACTGACATCAAATATTCTTAACATTTTATAAATTATTAAAAATCAATTAACCAAATTTAATTGGTTGTGCTGTCTTGCTAGTCGATTGCACGATAAACATGTGTTGGTTTTAATACTTAAAACTCTTCATTGTAAAATCAAACCCTATATTCTCTCATCATTTAAAAGAGGACAGACTGTTTTATTTGTAGTATAATTAGAAATAGAAAACACTAACATATATATTATGTAGGAAAAATACAAAACAATGAAGAACAGCATTACTTTATACCATTTGTCACTGCTGTTATTATTGATAGTATTTATTTATATGTATGTACTTTTAAGGCTAAAAGATCCTGATTCAGAATTATTATACATTTCCTGGAAAATAAAAATAGCTATCATTGTAAATTTAGTATCCAGACTTTTCAGTTGCAAATAAGAGTAATAATAAATCCAGCAGTTATAGGGCCAGAACAAGATGAAATAACATGAACCACAAGCACAAGTAAGATTATATTATTTTGCATTGATTATTAAGGTAAGTACCCTCTGATTTGCATTCTTTCAAAGAATGAAGTATAAACCATTCTGTTAATCTTTGAAATCAGGATTGAATCATTAACTTACCAGGGTTCTTCTTCAAGAGTTGAAGAGACTTTTTCTGGGAGAAAAAATCCATGCCATTTTGAAGCCTTAATTAGCTCTTGTGGTATCCTTTTTGATGCATCGTAATAGTGACCAAATCTTGAAGATGACACTGGTCCAGCCTATTATGAAAATCCACAGTGGTTGTTAGAACTTTATTAATTTTTAAACCATAAATCATTTGTCCTGCATTCAAAAACACTGATATTTATGTTTTAATGCTAACAAGAACTTATATATATAATATACTTAATAAATTTCAAAAGAATAAATTATTTATTTTAAACTATCTATAGTTATAAATCAACCTTTTCACTTCATGTTTCTTTACTCCTGGTGGTACCTTTGTTTGATAAAAATTTAAATACATCCTTTTACTGTACTGTATATGTTCCTAAGTTCAAAATTTTAACATAAACAATTCTTTACTAATTTTTAAGTTTCCAGGCTTGCAATTTAAATTAATATACAGCTACTAAGAACTACATGAAGATTTACTCCAAATGACTTCACTGGTGAGAGGTCCAAGAGAAACTAATTATTTGAATATATTAAACTGAGTACCATTTTGAAACTGAAACCTTACAAGACAATGTGCATGTGTGTTCACTGCATGTCCAGAATTTCTTGCTAAAATCTTGAGCTCACAGTACAAACTGCAGTGGGAGTATTTCAGATGGTACCAAGATTATAAGGTAAAGTAGAATAAACACATCAGCTATATCAGCTAAATCAGAAACATGGCATAATCATTAATTAATTTACTGTTTGCTTTTCTAACAATTTCTCCAACAAATGAGCTTTTTTAAAAGAAGCTCTAAACTTTTGATGCTGAACCTATTTAGACAGGATAGTAAAAGTTTGGTAATATAAAACTATTATTAGAATGGGTTGAATGTCCTCTGACCTCTTTTCTCTCACTTAGCACATGGAAATATGTATATGCCCCTATACAATTTTGAACTACTCACAAATACCATCTGGAAATAGTTTCTAATAAAATCTCATATCGAAAGTTACATGACTTCCACTCTCCCAAATACTACAAAACAGACAAATTTCAGAAATTCAACAAAACCAGATAATTTCTGAAGTAACTGAAGAACTAATACAGTAGGCTTTTAAGTTATTTTATATAGTAACTGAGAACTTTGTAGTTGATAAAAGAACAGATATTTGCTTGGTTGTACAAACGCCAGCATTTTATAACTGCAAGAATTCATTCATATTAAATAGCTAGAAACATCAAATTCTATAATAACAGGTTAAAAAGTTTAAATATAGAAATATTATTCAGATTCAGTTTCTGAGGGCTTGAAATTTATTTTCTAAATAAAATGACTGTTGCTCTCTCCATATTATTCATTTTCATTATTGCAAGAGACCTGTCAATTGGCTTAAACCACTCTTTTCTTTACAATTATAAATTATAATTACAGTTACAGAGGTATTGTTCCTAATTCATGACTTATCTGTTTACCATGAAATATTATAAATACATATGTGACATTAAAGGAGGGTGTGAAGTTTTTAAATGTAAAGTTATTAGTCTAAAGCAATTTAAACAAGGTCTGTTCTTTGGCCTATAATCTATTCTTTATCCGGATTATCGGTCAGAATGTTTTTACTGCAATCTCTGCTAGAGCTCATCTTTTTATTGTGTAAGTTCAGGCCCCCTTAATGTTTTAGAAGGGCCTTGACTAACTGAACTTTGATCTGATGTCTTCATTGAGAAAAACACCAGGTTGCCCATTTCAGATGCAAATCCCCCTAAGGCCCAATAGAATTTAGTAAAGACAGCAAAAAAGAAGAAACAAGAAGTTTCCAGGATCCTCTTTGAGAATCCTGGGGCACACTGGTGTCCTTAATCCACACTGCTGCATGGATTAAGGTAGGTGATAACCTTTCCTGATTCAAAAGAATAAGCAGAGTGCCTACAAACTGGGTGGAGACTAGGATTTGGTAATAATAAAACACCATGCAATAAAAGCTTGGTCTATGTCAGAAAACTCTGAAAAGGCCTCAATGTACCACATTCCCAGGCCTAGTAGGGAAGCTTGCAAAAGCCTACCTGAATCAAATAAGCATGAATAATCTATTTTAGCAGACTGGCCATGGGGAGAGAGAAAGAAAGAGAGACTTTTCGCTTCTTTTAAGTTTGAGTTAATAAATTTATTAGTGGACTGAAGGTTCTTGAAGCCCTTCGCACTCATAGAAATATGCTAAATTGCCAAGAAGTAAAGTATGCTTTTAAAGTTGCCGGCTCTGTTAATGTTTCTAATTATAATTTTAATGTGATAGAAATCTCAGATTTGGGATGAATCAAGGCAGAAAATTGATTTCACGCTGTGACAGTTTACATATAGAACACAAATAATTCATTAAAATGTAAAAATAAATTTGGAAGCTTTTCTTATTATAATTAAGCTATTAATTATTTTTAAAATTAAGATTAGGTATGGTTTTTAAAATATTCACAAGTTTGACACTAAAAATTTCATTAATTATGAAAAACTTTAATCCTTCAATAAATATGAAAAATATACTCAGAGAAAAAACCCTTTTGTAACTTTTTTTCAACTCAAGACATACAGCATTAACATATGTAATCAGATTTTTGAAAGCCATGAAATCTTTTGAAGTCTAGAATTATAAAATAATGACAAAATATTTCCTCTATAATTACAACTAAATGCTTTAAATCCAACAACAATACTATATGGGAAATACCAACTCCACAAAAAAATCAAACTCTTACCAATAACTAGTCAGATAGTACTCAGATTGGTAAGAATATATTGATTTAATTTTGTACTGTGAAAACTCTATATTCATAAACTGCCCTTTAACATCATTAACTGTGGAAAAGAGTAAAATGGAATGTTTCAGCAAAAAGTACTGTGCTAAAGAAAATGAATTCTGATAGGGTCGGGGTCTGAGTAGAGCAACTAAAACAATACTGTCCCTGACTCCAGTATGTTAGAAAGAAACAAAACTTTCAAAGCAAAGCTGAACCACAAATCAACAGTTTAAATAAAACATTTTTCATCTTATCATTTCTTATTGCTCAGGATGGCATAGTAAAAAGCAAGAACCCATATGGTTACTTAACCAGTCTGAGCCTTAATTCAATCAGCAAAATCTCAAGCTAAAAGCTATTTTATGAGGCTTCTGTGAGAAGCTAATACAATACTTACGAAGTATTTTTTGTGATTATAATGTCATGACTAATGAGAGAATCAAAAGATCCATTACTATCCTTTGCAATTTCTGAAAAAATGACATTTGATGTCATCTACAATGTGCACACATCTATCATAGGGCTATTGTGGCTGAACACTAAGACAGAAAGCCAGAGTGCAATGAAGATTTAATATTATAAAGAGCTAAAATACAGTTAGGAATTCTGGTAGGCCCTGGTAGTAGAGTTGAATGTTGAAGAAATAAAGCTTCCGAATATGCTCTGGGGTAAGTGTTCTTGATAGGCTTTGATGACTAGAAAGGGAAGAAGAGGGCATGTTCACCTGAGAGAATGAAAATCACAGTGAAAGATAATAGAGAGTAATTTCATTTCAACTAGAAGATGAAAGGAAGGGGGACTTTTAAATGCACACACCCCTCCAAGTGGAAGAAGTGCTGTTTTCTGCTTTTCTGAGCTACTGTTAATGACATAGATATGTCTTATCCTTTTTTTTTGGCAGTGCCAAGATGAGAATATGACATCATTCTTTGAATCTGACAAATCTGATACGCAGCACACCTAGTGCTGGACTACATGCTGAATGTTTACTCATAATAGTGTTAATTATTTATTGCTCTACGTAAAATACAGGAAACCCAGGGGTTGGTTGTTTCTAAACTGATGAAGGGAAAATAAGATCTATATTTCTAAACTAGATGGTAATGAGTGATCACAGTTTATCAGCTTTGGCCATCTTCATCATATATAAAGTTTCTGTGACAGGCAAATATACATGCTGGTGACATTTCAAAGAGAAACAAAGAGGCCAGAAGACAATTTTCTAAATTTGACAGAACTTGCTTGTAAATACTAGTCAGCTTAAGTTTGACCATGGATTGCAAATTCAAAATAAACTATTTCATTTGCATTAATGAATGCAACTTAGCTCATTTTTACATTTAATTCATATACTACATAATTTGCTCACTCATATATTCAATAAGTAACTACTATACACACATATACTATATATCATTCAGACAATAGAGTCAAAGTCCATTTCTCTGACAGAAGTTCACATTCTCCTATGAAGCGACTGGTGATAAGTGCCCTACAGAAAAATAAGACAGTGAAAAGAGATGATGTAGAATGTGGTTTTATTTTATACAAGAGTGATAAAGGAAGACATATCTGACATAAATTTGAAGGAAGTGGGAGAATAAGCCATTTGGAAAAGATTATTGCAAGAAGGGCACACTTTAAAAAATACTCAGACTGTATAAATTGAGTGTACTTGTTAATATGTAACCTCTGAGAAGTCTACTCCCATAGATAATCCAAACAATTGCAGGCACAAAATACTCTAAAAGGAAGAATGGAGTAAGTACTACTCACTTATTGTAAGAGGGGATAAGAAGAACATTTATATGAAGACACATGGAATTATAAAGAAATTTCTCCACAACATTAAACATATTTTATATCAAGCAATATATAAATATAGGGAAAAGGCTTAAAGTTTTATTTTCTTGTATTTTTCACTTGACAGTTCCACTTGTGGGATGTTGGTGATGGAAAGGAAAGACCAAAACCTAGCTGAGAAAAGACTAAAAGTGAAGGATACAGAAGACATAAGTGAAATACAGTGTCTAAATCTGATTGGTATATTATCTTTATAAAAAAGCTAAATTTAATTCAGAGCTTATGTTCATTATTGACACTTTCAGAGCCAGTGGAAAAACTAAAATAGTCACTCTTTCATAGTGGGAGCAGAGGGGATGGTGGTCCAATAGATTATGGTAGCAGATTTTGGGCTCTTAGGTAGTGGGTGTGGAATGTAATGTACTACTGAAGGGATCGTTCTGTATCTTTGAATCATACACAGTGCCATTACTAATGTTAATGTCAAAAAAAAAGAAAGGTTAAAAAAAAAAAGAGGCACAGTTAAACTGAATTATTTAAGCGAATCTACAAGATTAAGGACATGAAGTTCCACTGTGTATCTATGCCATATCCTCTTCATCCATTTGTCAGTAGTTAGGTTCTGTCCAGTTTTTGGCTAATGTAAACAATGCTGCAACAAACATGGGAGCACATATACTCTTTTTTTTTTTTTTTTAAAGATTTATTTATTTATTCATACAGAACTGGGGTACAGGCCAGAGGCTCAGGGGCGGTGAGAGGCTTCACCAGAGACAGAGAGGGGAGCAGAACAGGCAGATCGACGAAGTACACTGCTGAGGGGAGCAGCGGGCGGGCCAGGAGAGGTCTGGCTCGCCATGTGGTCTCCTCCGGGGCAGGCGGCAGGCGGGAATCGAACTCATGCGGAAGCGGCTTCAGATTCTCAGTGCTGTGCTTTAACCCGCTGCGCCACCAGGGAGGGCCGCACATATACTCTTTAAATCAGGGTTTGTATATTTTTCTGGTAACTCCCCAGAAATGGAATAAATGGAATGTGTAGAATTTCTACTTTTAACTTCCATTAAATTAAAACAATTCCATTCCATAACAATCTCATTAATTTACAACCTTATCAACATTGTAGAAAGCCTCTCTTCTCTCTGCATCTTCTCTATTGCTTGCTGTTTTTCATCTTTTGTGTAGTTATTCTCACAGATACGAAGTGATATCTCAATGTTACTTTGATTTGCATTTCTCTAATAATAAGAGATGATATTTGCATGTGCTTATTGGCCATCTGTATATCTCTGGAAAAGTACCTATTCAAATCCTCAGCCCATTCTTTAACCACATTGTTTTTTCTTATTGTTGAGTTTATTGAATTCTTTGGATGTTAACCCCTTGCAGATATAAAATGTACAAATAATCTTCTCCCACTCATAGGATGGCTATCATTTTTTTTTCATTATACAGAAGGCTTTTAGTTTGATGTAGTCCCATTTTTGTTTTATTTTTAATTCCATTGCCATTGGAATCAATATTCAAGCACAACTCTAAGGTTGATGTCAAGGTGTGTATTACCAATGCTTTGTCCTATTTTAAGCTTTCAAGTCTTATATCTAAGTTATTAATCCATTTAAATTAATTTTTGTGGAGACAGTATCTAGTTTCACTTTTGCACATGACTGTCATTTTCCAACAAAATTTATTAAAGAAACTATCGTTGCCCCATCCTAAGCTCTTGGCTCCTTTCTTGTAAACTAGCTGTCCATGTGTATGGTTTTACTTCTGGACTCAATTCTTTTCCGTTGATTTTTGAGTCCGAAATTCACAGTAAAATGGATGGAACTAGCAGGTATTATGCTTAGTGAAATAAGCCTGACTGAGAGAGGCAATGCCAGATAATTTCACTCATACATCATGTATAGACAAAACAAATCAATAAGCTAAATAAGACTAAAATAACCTTTTGCATTATAAGACCAATTAGTGGCTACCATAGGGGTGAGGTAAGCAAACTGGCTAAATAGGGGGAAAGAAGACAACAGTATGGTCAATGATACAATTGCATTTTAGGTAAACTTAATGTAGTGTGCGTGTTTGTATAGTATATACATGTAATACATAAATCCATATAGTTGTATATACATACAATTACCATTAAGTACAGATGCAAGACATTCCAAAGAAAACAGAATAACATAATACTGAGCATCCACAATTTAAAAAGAAAAAAGACCACTTTCTTAAATCATAATATCAATAATACTAGAAATTTCAATGTATTCAATTAAAGTTGATGATTCTGAATGATTCACTCCTGAAACTTATATATTAAAATACAATGTTATTCCAATAAATTAAAAGAAAATGTAATGATTGAAAACATATAGGAGTAATAGTAATCCCAAAGAATCACCATTTACATTAATATTTGTAGATAATCATAGTAGAAAGAAATGACTGATTTAGCTCACTAACTCTGGCCTTGCAATCTTTCTATAAAAGTGTTTACATGGAGATTATGGAAGAAATAAAATAGTCTAATTTTATAAAAAACAATTTTGCAGAGTTTTTTCCCCCTAGAAATGTCAACTTGATCAAATACTCTACAAATAAAAAACCTAGCTATTTAAGATAAGCAAATATATACTATTACATTTAAGAATGACAGGTATCACAAGAGATGTCATAAAATGAAAACAAACATTTTTGTTACTTTTAGAAAGTTTGCATGTTCACTTGCCTCCATCTTGGGTTGTAACTGGTAACGCCAAGCTATTTTCATCTTAATGTTAGATTCGGGTGTTCTATGATTATCTACATCTTCATCAAATTCCTTTTCGCAATTATCATCAAGTAAAGGTGCAGGAAGTTCCTAAGAAAACAGAATGGCATGTTACTGAGCATCTGTGATTTAAGAACAAAAGATCATTTTCTTAAGTCATAATATCAACGACACTAGAACTGGGGTGCAGGCCAAAAGGGCAGAGGGTGAAAACATTCACCAGTCAGAGTGAAAAGAACTGGCAGATTTACTGAAGTACACTGCTGAGGAGAGCAGTGGGTGAGACAGGAGAGGTCTGCTGCGCCACGGGGGACATGCAGCAGGAGGATCCCTGGCCAGGGATTGAACTTGTCCTGAGTGGCTGCAGAGAGCTACACCGTGTTGTGACTTAACTCTTATGCCAACCAGGGAGGCCTTCCCTTCTCTTTTCTGCAAGCTAGTCTATTGAGTGGCTACACAAACCATGTAGGAAACTTTTTTTTTTTTTTTTTTTTGCAAAGAGGCACTATAAAAATGATGCAAGTAGGAAGTACATATGTCTTTTGGAGAAGGAAAGAACAAACAATAATTTTCTTTTTTATTAGTAAGAGCATAATGCAATGTGGAACACTAGATTAATAAATACAATCTTGTGCCATGTTGCAAATTATTTAAAATTGCATCCTCTACTTTTCAGGACCAAATTAATTTATGTTTAGAATCATGTCAACTAATCAGCTGGAAAATAGGTAAGTCATATTTTAGTCATCTTCTAAAAGACCTCCAAGTGGATTCACAATATAATTTATGACAGTATTACAAACTAGTTATATCATTTAAGCTCTTAATCAATCATTTCTTGGAGAACAAAATATAAAGTTTTCTGCAATGGAAATACATTATTCGTGAGGCAGATGTTGCAACATCAGGGTAGCTAAGTCTGAATTCAACAACCAGATTTGGGTTTGGGTTCAAATCTTGACTTTATATTAGTAGTCATGTCTGTGGTTACCTTGACCACGTATAGGACATTTTGATGTTACCATCTATTATCTGAAAAATAGAGATCACAGTACTTGTTTCTTTTTGTTGCCATAAGGAATAAATCGGATTAAAAATATAAAATGCAAAGAATGATGGCTCTATATGTTAATCACTCAATAACTTCAACTGAGAATTAAGTCAAATAGTTGTTTTTTCTATTATCTACATTTTATAGTGCGATTAGGCAATATTTGGAATGTTTAGGTTATCATTTTTTCAATATCTGGTTCCTTATAATAGTTGTGACAAAGGTTACACATAACTTGAAGAACAAAATAATTCTTAAAATTATTTTTTACGAGAAAGAACATAAATATTTTAAATATATTACTCTCTTAATGTTCAAAATATCTCATTTGAATAGAAATATTCTAACATTAAGGTATAATATTAAAGAACTAGTCCTAAAATATTAGAAATTGCTTAATATGGTTTATACATCTAAACAAGTATAAAATTTTGATAATCATTTCCTCATATATCTTATTAAATATTATAGCTACCCCTGTATGATATTTTACCATTTAAAATTTTAAAATGTAAGGTAAAAATTTTTCTAATTTTAATTTTAGTATTGATAAAACAAAGACTTATTTCCCAAAGTGAAAGATGAAAATGTTCAAAATAGATGTAGGAAGTAGATTTTAACAAGTAATATCCATTATGTTTTCTTACACATATATTTTAAGATAAAACTCATATAACAAAAATTAATCATTCTGACCATTTTACAGTGCACAGAACACTGGTTTGAGTATATTCAGAGCTTTACAACTGTGACCATTATCTAATTCCAGAACATCCTCAAGAGAAATATCGTATCTGTCAGTTTCCATGGCCCTTCTCCAAGTGGCTGGTAATCACTAACCTACTTCCTACTTGTAAGGATTAGTCTATTCTAGACATTTCAGATGACTAGAACTATACAATGTGTCACATTTTGTGTCTGGTTTCTTTCACTTATTATTGTATTTTCAAAGTTCATCCATGTCATAGCATGTATCAGTGCATCATTCTGCTTTATGACTGAACACTATTCCATTGTACAGTTATGTCATATTTTGTTTAATCATTCATCAGACATTTGGATTTTTTTACTTTTAGGATATTATGAATAGTGGTGCGATGACTATTTATACATGAGTTTTTATATGAACATATATTTTCAGTTTCTTGTGTATACTGAGAGGAAAATTGCTAGATAAAATGATAATTACTATTTAGATATTAGATTAAATTCTATGTTTAATTTCTTGAAGAACTACCAAAATGTTTTCCATACTTTTTGCAGTCTGTAATATATCCAGGGCTCCAAATTTTATACATCCTTTGCAAGTCTTCTTACTTCTTCTCCTTCATTTTTTTTATTTTTATTTTTTTTTATAGATTTTATTTATTTATTCATCTGGAACTGGGGTACAGGCCAGAGATGCAGAGGGCGAGAGGATTCACCAGAGACAGAGTGGGGAGCAGAACAGGCAGATCGACGAAGTACACTGCTGAGGGGAGCAGCGGGCGGGTCAGGAGAGGTCTGTCTCGCCATGTGGACTTCTCCGGGGCAGGCGGGAATCGAACTCTGTGGAAGTGGTTTAAGCTTAGTAGTGCAGTGCTTTAACCCGCTGCGCCACCAGGGAGGGCCCTCCTTCATTTTTTTTTTAAACTTTAAATAGCTATCCTGTAAGATTATGGATGACTTGGTAGCTGCTATGGTGCTGATACTTGAGGGGAGGGATCATATCCCTCCAATATATCAACAAGAAGGTAAGCCAGAATAACTCAATTAAAAAGAAATTAATTTAAAAACATAGCTTTCCTTCTGATGTGAAGTGGGGAGTCTGACTCCAAAGTGTGTATACTAACCATAGGCTATATTCCCTTTTTAATAAGCTTTCACTCTAGTTGGGGGAGAAAAATAATAAATATTTATATAACAAAATCACTTAAGATCAATGTAATTAATGTAAATATGGATTAAGTGGAACAAGGGAAGAGGCAGAGCCTCTATTGTATTTAGATAAGGTGGGCATGGATGGCATCTTTGGTAATGTCAAAATTAATGCAGATGTAGCAATTATATATTCAATTAATTCTAATGATAATTTAAATTTATTCTACATATTAGCAAAGATATTTTTCATGTAGATGATTATACTATCATATGTGAAATATAAACTCAGAAATACTATTGTTATTCCCTTAGATCATGATACATTATAAAGAGCATAATGTTGAGAGATTTAGGTTTGTGAAATACAGATTTCATTAACATTATAAAGAAAATCATCATTACTTATAAAACTACTAGTTCAGAATTATGCTTCCCAATTATGCTATGGTGTCCCTTTGCAACATATTAACTATTTAGAGTCAAAATCTAAAAGCTATTTGCTTTCCTGTCCTCCCTTCCCCCATCTTATACACAATCAATCACAGATCAGATCAAGAACTGCCCTCTCTGCTTAGGAACCGTTTTCTATATAATTACTCCTATAACTATTATTTTTTTTCTGATATCTTCTGCAACTTAATACCTATATCATGTACTATGTAGTTTTATAAATTGATTTAATACCTTTATGGAATAAGGCAAGCCAGAAATAATATTTTTAGAAAACAAGCTCCTAGTGGTTATTAAAAGGCAAATTTTGTCTGTTGTTACATACAAAAAGTTCAATGATTTTTTTCCACGGTATCTTTTCAAACCACTATATTGTTTATTTGAAAATATCTAACACATTACTCCAGTATATTTAATAATATATTAACATAATAAGGAAAATGAGATGCATTTCTCATGCATTTAATGAGATAATTAGGTTTTAAGTCATCTTTTGCATGAACTATTATTGATAAGCCTAAGGGTTAGTTTCTTTTTGGTACTATGTCTTCTTAACTTATAAAAATACTACCGACATATCTTTACAAAAATTATTAGTTATTGGATAGGCATTGATTTCAAAGTGATGTATGTTCAGTGTAGAAAATCATAAGATACAAAAACAAACAAAAAACCCCCAAAACAATCATTCCTTAACTGACCTTCCAGAAATGATAACTATAAACACATCAGGGTATTTCTCACTTTTATAATATACATATAGATTATGTAACATGTATTTTGCCTATCATGCACATTATATGTATAGTTTTGTAGTTCTCATTCTTATGTCTTTATACGCATTTAATAGTTTTCAAAAATATGATTTTTAGCGTCTATATAATATTGGTTTATGGTTTAAGTCAAAATTTGGCTTTTAATTTTCCTACCAATCGAACTTTAGGTTGTTTGCAATACACAAATGTTACAGTGTTGTTTTATTACAAAAATCCTTAGCATCTCAAATTATTATTTTTTTCTATGCAATGTATTAAGTAGATTCCTATAATAGAGGACAACATACAAAACACACCAGTTTCTATCACTTGACTTTAGTAAATTTAAATTTTGAAAAACAAACATCTTTTCAGCAGTCAAGGAGCAACATTCTGATATGAGAACAATGATTGTCTGAGAAATCTTTAAAAGAAATGATAGGACTTCCAGATCCCTGCTTAGAGCTGGGACAATACTTCTCTCTGTGCAAAAGAAATGAAGAGGTCAAATCACAAAGATCAAGACAAATGAACAAGAAATGGAAATAATACTGGAAATAGGTAAACTTTTCAAAAGATTTTAATATAAGAGAACAATCAGAAGAAAAAATCTGAGCATTTCTAGAAATTAAAAATGTAATAGCAGATTTGAATAAAAGTGGCTAGAGGTGCTACAAGATAATGTTGGTTAAATCTATGAGAATAAAAGAAAGATGGTGGGCCCTCCCTAGTGGTGCAACGGGTTAAAGTGTAGCACTACAAAGCTAGCTGCAGCTGCTTCAGAGTAAGTTCGATCCCCAGCCCAGGAGGTGACCCACATAGAATGGCAGACCTCTCCAGTCTTGTCTGATGCTCCCCTCAGCAGTGGACTTCGTCAGTCAGCCTGTTCTGCTCCCCACTCACTCTGGTGAATCCTCTCACTGCCCCTGCACCTCTGGCCTGTATGCACAAATAAATAATCTTAAAAAAAGGAA